TTGCGACGGTTGACTGCATGACCCCATAAAACGTAACCCCCCACATGTGTTGCTAGGTTAGATTAGGAAGGGTGAGGTTGGGTCCGATTCCCAGACGAATTTGGTGTACTGGTGTATCCTCATCCTGCCAATGATATCTCACTGACTAAATCCTAGTAAGTCTTGGCTAAACTGAACGGTTGAAAAACGGTAGTGGTGACTGCTGGCAAAGATCATTAAGTCCATAGAATACATGGGCTTGTTTAAAATGTAGCAAATTCATTCACCCCTGCATCTAGACTTAGAGGCTTAGGCCTAAGATGAGGATTTGATATTTCAGATTGCGTTCATGCACCTCGGAGAAACACCGGGAGGCAGGAAGAAGGACACCGATGGATGCCGAGCTGACGTATGGTCAAAAAAAAATAATAATAATAATAATGTTTATCTATTTAAAAAAAATATATCTTTTCTATTGATTATACTTTTTTAAATAATTTTTTTAAAAGAAATTTTTTTAAAAAATAATATAAAGTAAAGTTTTTACTTTCAAAGATTTAAATATAATAAATTATTATAGAGATAAGTCTTTTTTATAATATTGTATTCAAATACTTTAAATCAACAGAACAGTTGAATCAAATTAAAGAATTCTTTTTCAAATAAATAGAAAGGTTATTTTAATCTGTTTTAATAATTTTAAATAGCAAGTTCTTATCTTTTAATCAAATCTAGGCTTTTTTAAAAAAAAAAAAAAAAGATAATTTTACAAGAAAAAGTCTCAAGAAAAAAAAAACCCGGATATAAAAATGCTATAGATAAATAATCTTTATCTAAACAATTTTTGCCTTCTAAAACATATCAGTATACTAAATATAAAATTGATTTTATTACTTTTTTTTTTTTTTTTCCCACAGTCAACTCAGGATCCACAGTATCACCTTTGTAACCCCCTGATGTTTCTTCAGGGTGCATTTTGACGGTCATTGATAATGGTCCTAAATACTCGTCTCAGGCCTAAGCCTTTAAGTATAGACAGGAGAAGTGAGTAAGTTGCTATATCAAAGCAAACAGTTCATGCTAGAATGCTTGATACTAAAGCTTGTAGCCACCACTATAGTATTTCAACCATTCAGTATAGCCAAGACTTACTAGGATTTAGTCAGTGAGATATCATTGGTGGGATGAGGGTACACCAGTACACCAAATTCATCTGGAAATCGGACCCAGCCTCACCCTTCCTAATCTAACTTAGTAATACATGTGTGGGGTTACGTTTTATGGGGTCATGCAATCAATCGTCGCAAGTGTACCCCTTAGGATAGAACATCCCGTGATACAAGCAATCGCCTACACCCCCGACTGGATTCTCGCTACCATTGAACATGTGAAACTCTTACTGATAGTTGTGCGACTAATGGTTTTAGCCGTCTGTACCTTTCTTTCTGCTATCGGAAAGATCCCATAAAACTTCTTCCCCCTTTTGGAGGTATTTCCCGAGCAATACTTGATCAAAAAGTTTTATCAATTAGATCATCTATCTTTTTGACCTATGGAGTGTAGTCTATCTATAAGGCTTCCTGATCGCCGGAACAACCCAAATTGCTCTCTATCACGAGTTACAAGGCAGTGACACAAAGTCCTTTTTGGGATATGTGAATTGTCCCCAGCTGGAGTTGAACCGTGGGTCATGGGTTAGCCCTACCCTGCTTTAGCCCACTGGACTATAACCGGATAGGTTATTGATTTTATTACTATACTACAAGGAAAACACTATAATATTGTTTATAAAAAAAATATAAAGGTTGAAAAGCTTAAAATTTTGAAAAAATCAAAACAAAAGACTATTATTATTGATGATATAGTCATAATTACTTTTAGTAATAACAACAATAATAATAATAATAATAAAAGATTCAAACATATATTTCATATAAATAGTAATGATATTAATAACCAATATATCAGAAATCTAATTGTATTTATAGAAAATAAACCAGAAAACTATCATATTTTATTTAATAGAAGTGGATCAATTGAAATCAACAATTACTTATTCAAAAATAATTCTTATAACTTAACTGTATAAGGGCTTAGAACTAAATTCAAATTTATATTAGGACAAATCAATACTTTATTCAAAGATAATATAAACTTGGAACTCAATAATACTAAGTTTGAAATTTATTATTTATTATTTTTTATATAATGGAAAATATATATAACAAATAAAGAGTATAAAAGAAAAGAAAAAAGATAAAAAGTAAGATGGCAAACTATACCCAGATAGTCTATAGTATCTGTGAGTGGATTTAATTAATATAAAATAATATAGATCAATTTTTATATATAATTATGTATATAAAAACTTAACTATATTAATAAACTAGAGTAAAGTCTCATTTCAGCAGGAAAAAAAAAATTGTATAAAAATTATAATATAAAACAGATTATAACAAGTAGCAATCAAGTTTATATTGTTTTAAAAAAGTAATGAACACAAAATTTTTAGGTTAGAAATGTTGATTATTATATTTCAGAAGCAAAGATATTCATTGATAAGACAACAATTCAAAACACATTAGTCATCTTGTTACAGAATTTCTTTGCAAAATAATTCGTAAGATTATGGACTAGTCATTTAACAGTCCCAACCTAAATTCAATTGAAAATATGTGAATCATCATTAAGAAAAATGTATGCCAAAAAATATTGATGAATTAAAATGATATATAATTGAGAAGTGAAATAAGAATCCTATATCAACTTCGAAAAATTTAGTAATGTCAAATATGTGAACTGGTGTTTGAAGTGAATTAGCTATTCTAATAAAAAGCTATAAATGATATACGATCAACAAATGTCTTTATTAATGTGACCAACAATACAAAAAGGTTCTAAAAATTGATTCCATAATATCAAATCACATAATATGTCTTTTTTTTTGTTAAAAAGGTAGACCAATTTATTTATATAAATATTCTTTACATTTTGACATCAAGTTGTTTGTAATCACGTGAAATTTCAAGATAGTCATAATTATTTAACAATTGATGAATATCCGAAAGTATAATACACTCTTAAGAAATACCGAATGTCTAAAAGGTTCAAATACAGAAATGGCCAGTTTCGGACCCTAAAGAATAACCACTAAGCCTTTTCCGCTTCGATACTATGGTCAAGAATATCAAATGAAAAATAAGTTTTATGTAACTCATTTAAAATATAAAAATATATACACATAACACACTTACACTTGAGCTCCTCTAATGTAAGTGGCTACGATTTCAGCAAATCTCTTTCCTTGAAATCGAGCAACCTCCTTTTCCCTCTCGGATATAGGTCTAGAAGCATCATTACCAATAATGGTGCCAGCGCCCCAATAACCTCCACCAATTACTTCGCTAGTATCGCCAAAATAAGATATTCCACTGCCTAATGGGACAAAGTTGATTCCGTGATGAGCTAGATAAGTGACAGTAGTAAACCCGGTAGTCTCCTGTCCTCCATGTTGGGTAACAGTTGATGTGAAGAAACCAGCAAATTTTTTGTCCAATGCTCCTTTCATCCAAATTTGACCAGTACTATCAAGAAATGCTTTAAATTGAGCGGGAATGGTACCGAATCTTGTGGGAAAACCGAACAAAAAGCCATCCGCTTCGGCAAGCTTATCAGTAGTAATAATCGGAACATCGGGGTGGGCTGGCGCATGCATCTTATCGAGAATTTCTTGAGAAAGGGTCTCGGCAACTTGGTATAATTCTACATCGACCTTTGGATGTGCAGCCTCAACACCTTTTTTGACTTCAAGAGCCAATTGGTAGACGTGAGAATACATAGAATAGCTGAATTGTAAAATATACTATTAATATTTACGCGTCTTTTTATTAGACTCAGTTATAATGAAACTTTCAAAATACTTACAAAATAATAAGAATTTTAACCATTGTGAAGAATTTAGCGCGTTTTTTAAAAAATCTTTTTGTTATATTTTATCGAGTTCCGTTGATTTTCAAAGTTAAGCAAAGAACAGCACCTTTTATACATTTCATGAATCCAAAAAATCTCTAAGTACGCACACGATTTGTAATTTTCTTTAATAATAACCAACTTTTGGTTTACATATAACTGTATATAGTTTATGCACGACGATCTACATTACAAATGTACAGTAAATCAAAAATGAATAAATTAGTCAGTATATCCTTCCATTATTAATCCGCTAGATAAATCTCTGTGAAACCGACAAATCAAGGTTGTACATCTTGATTTTTAATCAATGCATTTTTGAATGTACAATCAGCAGGGTTTAATACACGTGACATTAGATTTGTCAGTCGGGTATTTTTTGACTTTACGGGTTAAATAATTGCCGTAATTGATTTGAAAATAATACAGCAACTGCCTAATTGATTTGAAAATAATACAGCAACTGCCGTAATTGATTAATTGATTTGAAAATAATAAATAAATTCCTTTATAACACTTTTTACTTGAATACACCAGACACTAGTCAAAATCTGATTATTCGGCAGTATGCCTCTCGTCAATCATAAACAATTCGTCAATTATTGACGAATTATTTATTGTATGATGAAGAATTGACGAGAGGCATACTGCCGAATAATCAGATTTCGACTAGTGAGAGGTTCACAAAATATTCAACTATTTTTAATATTTGAAAATAAAAAAATTTTTTTTAATATACCTGGATAATAGGTATTTAACAAGTCAAAATGATTTGTTATTTGAATATTATTTAAGAATACTGTGACTTGAATATATTTGTTTAGGTGATAATAGTAATTAATTTTTAATTGAGAAATAGCTTATGGTTTTTGTTTAATAACTGTTGCGATTAAAGAATTTATGTTACGATTGAAGTTTTTATTTAGGATTGAATTCAATTTTTTTTGTAAAATAATAATCATGCGCATTACATTTGTAAAAATTTTTATATACTGTAACTCTAAATTTTATAAAAACTAGTTGATAAAATTCCCTTGATTAATATATGAACAAAAATTTGTCCAAAAACCTATGATAAATTCTAATAACCAAAGCAACTCAGAAAAATCACCATTAACTTTCAAGAAAGTAAAATTCATGCACAATACAAAAATTGCACCATAAGAATACTTAGTATATGAATTACAAATATCCATAAAAACTTATATTCAATAAATAAACTTTATTATGAGATTCTTGCATATGAAAAAGGTAACAAACAATATAAATAGATGATTAATAAAGTTCTTATAGTAGTAATTAAATATTTAATCCAAGATACAATATTTTTCAATGGAAATATAATCTAATAATAACAAAATTATATTAATATTTAAATACAAACCAAAATTTTAATATATAATAATCAATAATAAAATTTATTTACATAATAATATAAGATTAATATATGTGACAAATAACTTAAATAACAAATTACAATCTGATTAAAAAATCTCTTCCAATTTTTTTTTTAAAAAATCATTATAAGTTATACAGTTGCTATCCAATTAAAGGTTTTTTTATAAAAAAAAAAATCAAAAATTATATGTTATATTGCCAGTTAATATTTTTTCAATCTTTAATTAATTTTATAAAAGTAACTTTAGAATATTAATAAAAAAAAACCATTAATATAAGATTTATTATAATTATAAATAATAGTATATGGTAGCTCACATAAATAACCGATCACCAATCAATTTTTATTAATAAAACATAGTAAAAATAGAAATTTTCAAGTTATATTAAAGTTATTAATTTTTTTAGTAAAAAATTTTTTTTTCAATTTTAATATTAAATTTATCAACTGTATCTTCTAAAAAAATTTTTTAAAAAATTTTTAAATCATTCTTTAAAAAAGTATTTCAATTAAAAAAATAATAAAAAATTATATATATATATATACTGTATATATACAATTTAAAAATTTTTTATTATTTAAAAAATTAATTATATATTTCTTAATAAAAATTTATTTTTAATTTAATTTATATAAATATAACCTTTTGTTATTAAAATCATGGAAATTTTATAAAAAAACAAATGTTTATAATTGAAATATTACTTAATAAAAACATTGTTATCTTTAATAATCGTAAATTATTATAAACGACCAACAAAATTAAGAATATTCTAGATAATAAATTAATTTTAGCAGCCATAATAATTTAGCCACAATAATTGCTGCTGCTATATAACTGGTATAAAATTATATTTTTAACAAAATTTTTTATAATTATCTTTCTTTTAATAATGCCATGATTAACTTTAGAAAAAAGAGCAAGAATTATACTTCTTTTTGAAGAAAAATATACTTCATGACAATTTGCTACTAGAGAAAATGTTGCACAATCTACAGTAATTGAATTAAGAAAAAAAATACAATTAACTGGAAGCTTAAATGATAAATCAAGAACTGGACGACCAAGACTTTTTTCTAATCGTTATGAAAGAAAAATTGTGCGTTATATATTAACTGATGAATGTTCTACAGCAGTTGATATTCAAAAAAAATTAAGAATATATTATCAAATTAATGTTTCAGCAGAAACAGTTCGTCGTATATTAAAAAAACATGGTTTTAAAGCTAAAGTAAAATGTAAAAAACCTTTTCTTTCAAAAAAACACATGCAACAATGACTTAAATTTGCTCAAACTTATAAAAACTGGACTGTTGATAATTGGAAAAAAGTAATTTGGTCAGATAAAAGTAAATTTATGATATATAGATCGAATGGAAAACTATATTGTTGGAAAAAAAATGATGAACCTTTAAGTGCAAGGCATATTAAACCAACTGTTAAATTTGGTGGAGGTAGTGTAATGGTTTGGGGTTGTTTTATTGCTCAAGGTATTAAAAATCTTTGTCGTATTAATGAAAAAATGGATTCAAATTTTTATTGTCAAATACTTGAAGAAGATTTTCTTGGAACTTTAGATTGGTATAGTTTAAATAAGAATAATATTATATTTCAGCAAGATAATGATCCTAAACATAAATCAAAATTAGCAAAAGAATGGTTTATTAATAATAATATTACTGTTCTTAATTGGCCTGCTCAATCACCCGATCTTAATCCAATCGAGCATTTGTGGAATGAAATGAAAATCTGATTACAAAAATCATTAATTCAAGTTAAAAACAAAGAGGAGCTTTGGAATAAATTACAAGATACTTGGAATAATATTGAACTTGAAACATGTATTAAACTTATAGAAACAATGCCACAAAGAATTAAAGATACTATTAGAACTAAAGGAGGTTATATTCGATGATAAAATAGTTTTATATATAAATAAAATTTTAACTTATTTTTATATTTTCTATTATTAAAATATTTATAAAGCAATAAATAATTTTTTTATTTTTTAATTTATTATTAAAAAAATATTATATTGCTATAATATAAAATAAATAATAACAAAAAAAAAAAACTCTTTTCTAAAAATATTTAAACAAGGTTTCTAAAGTATTAATTATTTATAAAAATAGCAAAACTTCTAAATCTATATTACTAAATTTTCTGAAAATCCAAACACCTTTTTTTAATAAATGTCTCAAATTCTTAAGAAAAATTTATTAATAATTCTTTAAAAATTAAAGATATTATAATATCTCATTTTTAAACTATTCTTGAAATTAAATAATTTAATATAAAAAACACTTTATAAAAATCAATATATGAATTTTTTAAGTATATAAACCTATTAATTTTTAAAATTTTTATTGTATATTTTAAACTTAATTAATTAAATAAAATAATAAATAACATTTCAAAAAGCAATTTGATCTTATTAATATTATATACATATGTATATACATGTATATATAAAACAATATAAATCTTAAGTCCAATAATAAAATTAACTCTATTAATTTTATACTGTATATTAAAATTTTTAATTATGATGAAGTTTTTTATACTAGAAAAAATTTATAACTATTTTTCTTTTTAAAAAAAATATTTAAATTTATATATTTTCTTATTGGTATCAAGTCTATTATATTTATTAAAGCAATAAAAATTTTTTTACAAAAATCTGAATTTTACAACTCTTAAATCTTATAATATTTTATTAACTCTAATTTTATTAGCTTTAAAAATCAAAACATTGTAAGACTACCTATTATAATTTCTTCAATATTTATATATTTAAAAATTCAGGAAAGAAAATTTGATTTGTACCATTTGATATCTTCAAAGTTTTGGTTTAATTAATTTTTCTAATTTTATCAAAGTAATAGAAAAATTAAAATTATAAATATTATAATTAAAATAATTAATAATTTATTATTATATAGAAAACTTTAAATTTCTATTAACTATAGCTTTATTAAGAAAATAATTATTTTCAAAAAAAAACTCTTTTCTACTTCCCCTTCTGCCACTCAAAAATTTCTTTTTTAGAAAATTTTAAATTATTTATCTTTTATATTTTTGCCACTGTAATACTTTGTGGGCCAATGGTTTTGTGAATAAAAGATGATACTCTGTGGATCCTTTTGTTCACATAATTATATTATAGGTTGTTCTTGTTTCTTTTGATTTAATACCAGGTTTGAAAATATACGTATATTGCAAGTTTTCTTCTTTTTTAGGAAGTATTTTTGTTTTTTGTTTTTTCTTGTTTGCTGTTAAACAATAATTATTAATATTATATATATAATTATTAAGTATCTCTATACTGTATAATATATTGTAGCTGTAAATAGTTATTTGTATTGTTATATTCTTAAAAAATAAAACTATATAAAAAACAAAACTTTGTTATTAAAGTTTTATATTGAATAAATTACTGTTTTGTAATTTTTTATCATAATTATATAAT